GTATGTGTATAGAGTGTGTGATAAGGGTAGGGTTTTTAATAATATATATTTTTATTTATTTAATTAAAATAAATATATATTCTATGTCCCCCCTCCCTTCTTACCTTTACTGGGAGGAGGGGGGACATATTTCGATCCCTGGTGGTCCCAGTGGTGATTCCCTGCGAGTCCCAGTGGGGACAGTGAACTCTAGCCCGGCTAGAGTTCACTCTCGCGAGATTTGGAGCGTTGCCGTGGTAACCGCGGCAACGCTGCAAATCTCGCGAGAGGAGGACCCGGAGGAGCTGCAGCCTGAGCTCCTGGGTCCTCTCACTCCCTCCCCTGCCGGCTGTCAGCACAGTGCCTGCGGACCAGGGAGGGAGAGCTCTGATCTCCCCTCCGGTCCGCAGGCACATTGCAGGGCTAGCACCTGCATGTGCTGCTGGCAGGGGAGAGGGAGACCGGCGGATTTCTCGGGGGGGGGGGCAATTGCCCCGTTGCCCCCCCCTGGATCCGCCACTGGTTCCCACTACAGCCCACTGACACCGCCACTCCCTAGTTTACATTCTGGATCAGCCCCTGGCACTGATAAGCTATTTAGGAACCAGGTTGTCACTAATAAGCTACTTGGGCACAAAGATGGCACTGATTAGCTTTTTTGGAACAAAGATGGCACTAGAAAGCTGTATTGGGACAGAGATGGCACTGGGTAATTGGGCACAAAGATGGCACTGATAAGCTTGTTGTTATCAAAGCTGACACTGTAGGAAGTGGGTGACATGTTACCTGGTGAAGTTGAGGAGCTCGAAGAGGTGCAGTGGTTTCAATAGAAAATTGGAGTGGCTAGAAGTATTATGCTTGCGAAGGGTGGGAGTTAGCAATATAGTCACTCCAACCTGGGGTGCCTGGGTGGGGGGGTGATATGTGTAAATTCAACACCTAAGGATATGTGTTGATATACACGTATCCTTAGACTAGTATTGTTCCGTCCATGCGCAAAACAGCAGAGCTCTGAATTAGCTCATAAGAATGTGAGTGGTAGTAACACATAACTATCCGCCACTTATACGTTATACTTACTGTATTGCACCATTATTTTTTCTATCTTTGTTTCTTTTTGAGGTCCATTGTACAAAACATTTGGAAACCTATGTACGTATAACCGTTTGTATATATATCTTGGGCGCGTATTGCATGTTGCTTTAAATGTCCTAGTTTTTCCAACATTGTACCTGGGCCTGTTTACATCAAGGCACAGGACAATATTTATAGAGATTTAACAGAGATTGTAATAACATGCTTGTGACGGATCACCTGGCACCCCGACTGGGCACCTCCGCCAACAGATGCGTCCTAGCTGAAGCTGAGGACCATAAGCACCGCACCAAACAACACAAGCACATCAGACTCCACAACCGCCATAGCTTAGCTGGGATCTCACCGTCTTCTTCCCCCCCGGACCAACCTCGGATATCCAGGACCATGTGGGAAGGACCTCTCCTACGTCAGAGAGCGTGGCAGGAACAGCTCTTACAAGAGCTAGTGATTAGAACCCAGGGGAGTATAAGGAGTATAGCAATCCCCAGTGTGAATATAGCAGTTCAATTCCAATAACGAGACCAAGCTACGTGTTGAGGGTTAAGCAGGAACTCAATTTTAATGGAGGCACACTGGCCTTTTATGCAAGTTTCTCAACAAGGGTGACACCCAGGTGGACCTTGTTGGGCACAGGGACACAAAGGGAATAAACCAATAAGAACAGTAATTAACTGTACGACACTCCCATAGCACACATACAATCCCTCCCCTCTGCCTGTGAGATAATCGAATGAAGTACTGTATGTAACTCAATTACCTCCAGGCAGAAAAACACTCATTTATTATAAAGTCCATAAGTACCCCAAAACACAACATATCTCCATAATGTTAATCTCCATAATGTTACATCCCCTGATAGCCCTGATCTGGGTGAACAACAAATCCAAAAATCACCCAGATCAGTTTAGGGTTTCAGAAATTTTATGGACGTCATAGTTTGCCCAGGCGCAGGCATGGTCCCATGCCCAAAACAGTTTTTAGACATAATAAATTAAAGGGGCCATAGTCACAGGGTAAAACATAGAAACATAGAATGTGACGGCAGATAAGAACCATTCGGCCCATCTAGTCTGCCCAATTTTCTAAATACTTTCATTAGTCCCTGGCCTTATCTTATAGTTAGGATAGCCTTATGCCTATCCCACGCATGCTTAAACTCCTTTACTGTGTTAACCTCTACCACTTCAGCTGGAAGGCTATTCCATGCATCCACTACCCTCTCAGTAAAGTAATACTTCCTGATATTATTTTTAAACCTTTGTCCCTCTAATTTAAGACTATGTCCTCTTGTTGTGGTAGTTTTTCTTCTTTTAAATATAGTCTCCTCCTTTACTGTGTTGATTCCCTTTATATATTTAAATGTTTCTATCATATCCCCCCTGTCTCGTCTTTCCTCCAAGCTATACATGTTAAGATCCTTTAACCTTTCCTGGTAAGTTTTATCCCGCAATCCATGAACCAGTTTAGTAGCCCTTCTCTGAACCCTCTCTAAGGTATCAATATCCTTCTGAAGATACGATCTCCAGTACTGTGTACCCCACTGGTGACAAGTCCAAGCTTTGAATATATTCTATTAACTACAACCCTCTGTTGCCTGTCACTCAGCCATTGCTTTTACCCATTCAACAATATTGGAATCCAAACTTAAAGATTGCAGTTTATTGATAAGCCTTCTATGTGCAACAGTGTCAAAAGCCTTACTGAAATCTAGGCAAGCAATGTCTACTGCACCACCCTGATCTATAATTTTAGTTACCCAATCAAAAAAATCAATAAGATTAGTTTGGCATGATCTCCCTGAAGTAAACCCATGTTGTCTCTGATCTTGAAATCCATGTGTTTTTAGATGTTCAACAATCCTATCCTTTAACATGGTTTCCATCACTTTCCCCACTACTGAAGTAAGGCTTACTGGCCTATAGTTGCCCGACTCCTCCCTATTACCTTTTTTGTGAATGGGCACAACATTCGCTAACTTCCAATCTTCTGGGACTACTCCTGTTAATAATGATTGGTTAAATAAATCTGTTAATGGTTTTGCTAATACACCACTAAGGCTGGCAAGTAGTCCCCTCCAAACTCCAATGGCAAAGTAGCTTTCGCCACAATGCTGTTTCAGATTTCAGGCTGCAAGATAATGACGTCATATATTTCATAACCTCTGGTGCAGCAGATAACATAATTGCATAGCATTATCATATACTATGCATTTCTATTTCTGGATGCATTAGAAGTAAGGCCGTGTTTTAATGACGTAGTGGGTGTAGTTCAAGTACAAAAATTAGATTTTATTTCATAATGCTAATTTACTTACCGCCTCCATATCTTTCCGTTTGGATTTTGCCAGTCAGGGATTTAAATAGCTGTGAATGTATGAATTAAGCTTAAATGCACCCAACACCCTGTTACAATTTTAAACTAGTGTGTATGATTGCCGTACCCACCTCCTTAAAATATTCCCAGTCCAACAAGAGCCAAAAGTTCTATCTGGCAAACCCATCTCTGATCAGAGAGATAACAGGTTAATTCTATTTATAGTTTGGAAAATTAGTTTAAATGTGAATTTGATGTATGTATAGAAATCTATATGCAGGAATGTATTTTGATTTTAAAATTGTAAAAGGGTTAACACCACATAATACAGTCCTACACTGTTTTATCTTATTAAAAAAAAAGATAAAGGAAATATTTCTCATGTACTAATATATATATATATATATATATATATATATATTTATTTTTTTTTATTTTTTTTTATTTTTTTATGGTTACATACATTTAATTAACCAAAATACAGATCTGTCTGCTGGCTTGTAACCCACCACTGTGGTGGGAGAGAATCCAGTACAGCCTAGTGTTCTACAAGGGCCAGACACTGCATATTACTCTCGGAGTTAACATGATACACACTACTTAATGGGAATAGAGGGTGTATAATGCATATTATTTGGAAAAAGTGTAATTGACATACTGTGCCTGAGGGGAAAAATGCAAAACAAGTGTTCTTCATCCCTCAATTTAAATTCCAACTCTACCCAAGATTTCATAATGCATCTCACTACAATCTTACCGTTTGGACTGATCTACCAGTGGGTTATCCAGTGCCGGTCAATTTTGAAAAGCAATGTTTACAACCCTCACGGACTATTTGAGAGGAGCAGAGATGTACTGGTTGTGGATTAATATCAAAAGGCAACAGAATTGCAGAAAAAATTAGAAGTCATATTTATCAAGATGAATATGGTGTTTTTCTGAGGTAAATTATTTAAATGCTGAGAGGCATTTTTTACCCCATGGTGATTGATCCTTCCTTCACAGTTTCTCCTAGAACAGCTCTTGTTAATAAACATGGCCCTAAATTCGTAAAAGTAAAAGTCTTACTAAAGTAGGTTGGTTTGGGTTACTTTCTATTTTATTAACGAAAGGCTTAATTTACTAGATGTCAAAAGTTCACAGAATAATTAACTGTATGCATGTTTTTAACAATTTAATAAAGACCATATGTGAATAATAATTCTAATACAATTCAGATTCTGGTGAAATAGTGACACCTTTAAAAGTTAAAAGAAGCTAACAAGTATTTTTCAGTCATATGCACAGTTCTTTCAACCCCCCCCCCCCCCCCATCCAATATTTAAAATAGTACTGGACTTCCTTGCCAAGACAATAGTTAATTGATGAAGAAAAAATAAATAGAGGGGGCGTGGCCTTAACATCAATGGAGTAGCATCTTCCTGCAGCTCCGAGGCCCCAGTTCATCACTGCACCCATTAACCTGCACAAAACAACCTAATATGGGAAAATCCTAGAGACCCAACACCCCCGGCCCTTCTCATTTGGGCTCGTCGGGTCGCGCCTCAGGCCCCATGGACGATTTCATATGCACACCGCGAGACACACGGTCAGCCCAGTCCTCGACCAAAATGGCACCGGCCTCTCCGGGCGCAAACAGCACCGCCAGCTCGACACAGGGCTCAGGCAGAGGTGAATCCCTCACCCAAATAGCAGCAGACTTAGCCACAATCTCGGCCAATATGCTATTCCGCTCCGACAAGGCAGAGATGCTGGCAGAAATTAGGATAGCGATCAGGGAGGAGGTCATGGAGGTGAGGAGGGATCTGACAGCCCTGGAGCGCAGAGTAGAGGACTTGGAGGCCGATCAGGCCCAAAATATGCAGCACCAGCAGGAGATGGATACTGCCACTACCAGACAGGGCAATGTCCTGCTTGACCTCAGGAGGCACCTTGAGGACCTGGACAACCGCGGGCGGAAAAATAACATCCGCATAAGAGGCCTCCCAGAGTCCGCTGGGGAAGCACTACCTCAGCTCTTAATGGACCTGTTTACCCGCATCCTGGGAGACAGAGCCCCAGGTGACTTTGGCATAGAATGAGCTCATAGAGCCCTTCGTCCCGCATCTGAGGAGGGGTCCCCAAGGGACATAACCTGTTGCCTGCTCTCCTAGGCCCTAAAAGATGAGATAATGAAAGAAGCCCGGAATCAGCAGAATCTCACCTTCATGGATGTCCAGATCTCATTGTTCCAAGATCTCTCTGTACTCACCCTGGAAGCCAGAAGGGCGCTGCGCCCGTTAACCACCCTCCTCAGGGAATGGCGGATACAGTACATATGGCGATTTCCCTTAAGTTTGCAGGCCATGGTTGGCAATACCTGGCATATCGTTGGCTGGCCGCAGATGTCCCACGCTTTCTAGGAATCGCAGGCCTGCCCGCTGTTGCGGTTTCCAATTGGGCCCTTGAGAGGCAGCCACAGCGCCCACGTGCATCAAGCGAAAGGCCTGGTACTGGCCTTACGGGAGCGAGGTTCCGATGGGGCAACCCGGACAGCCCGGAAGAATAGCAGGTCTCAGCGAACAGGGTCTCTCCCCGCTCAGGCCGAAGTACCCGCCGACAATTTGCTACCACCGCTGTGAGCCCTTGTACCTATATCAAGATGGGCCGTACAGCATAACGGATTGATCAGCTCACTGCTCCCCCAGAAGCTTCCCTGTGAGACTACCACCCCGCAAAAGCGAAGACTCTGCATCTTTGAAAATGCCAAACCATCGAAGGGTATGTACCGGACCCCTTAACCCCGACCTATAGCACTGGGAACTGGGCCTCAGAGACCTGGGAATGAGCCCTTGGGGCACCAGACCCGTGGGGTGAGGGAACTGAGTGGGAGAAGGTACGCACCAGGAAGCTATACTAGGGACATACCCCACGCCGAAACGGACCCAGGTACATTTGCCATTGATTCCTTTGGGCGGGGAACGGGGGGATATGAGGGACACCATTATAACCTGGACAAACACCCCTGCTGAGGGCTTGTAAGTTGCATACATTCCCTAGGGGACCTGCAGATGGGACCTCTCCCAACCCCGGCGGGGCTAGCAAAAGAACTCTCGCTACACACCAGCGTACCAGCCAGAGCCAGCCGGAGGGAGATGCGGTGGGGGAGGAGAGGATGGTCATGTTAAAGAATGCAGAATTGTTTGTAATGTTTGCAAAGATTAAAAAAGTTCATGCTACACATGTATGGTTACACGCACTCACACGGGGTAGGGGACAGGGCTGCAGCAAGCAATACATAAGTGGGCCTCGAGTGGAAGGGACACGGCTGGCGGGAGGTGACCCCGGGAGGGACCCGGACCCAGTTAGAATGACGGGACCCGAAACACCAATGGGCTAGAACCAAGAAGACCCCGACAACCTATAGAATCATAGCAGCACATTAGCTAACACTGAGAGGCTTTACTACACAATAGACATGTGCAATTCGTTTCGGGCCGAATATGAATTCGGACGAATTTCAGGCAATTCGGACATTCGGGTACTTCCGAATGTCCGAATAGCCGAAGTGCCGAATTGCCAAATTACAGAGGTCCCGAAGTTCAGAAAATACAGAATTTCCGAAGCACAGTATTGCCTAAGTACTAATATACTTACCCAGTGGAAGAAGAAGAATGTTACACTGTATACAATTTTAAATAAAAGTATACAAACATAGCCAGGATTCAGCTGTAAGCATTTGCAACACTTACAACAATCAAGTAACATACATTAATATAAAATATAAGTTACCAGTCAGTGTAATGACAGGAATGAATAAGTAGATAATTCCCTAATTCCCACGGTATTAGGGAGCTATCTACTAAAAGGCTGAAAGACCTAAATTGGTCTTTCAGACAGATTTACTAATACTAAGTAAACATTACTTAGAATTAGTAAATTATGCCCCTACTCGCTATACTGAGAGTAGGGGAATAGCTATTAAACAGTGAGCAACCTGTAAAAAAAAAAAAACGTCCCCCCCCCAACTGAAGGGGGGACCTATTGCCCCCCCCGACCCCCACCCCTGAACGGGTGAGGTCCCTAAAGTAAAGTAATGGGGGGACCTATTGTCCTCCCTCCTGGCCCCCACCCCTGAGCGGTGGGTGGGGGCCCAAAATCAGAATAAGGGGGGAACCTAATGTCCTGGCCCCCACCCCTGAGCGATGAGGGGGGGACCTAATGTCCTCTCCCCTTGCCCCCACCCCTGAGTGGTGAGTGGGGGCCCTAAATACTAATTGGGGGGGACCTAATGTCCTCCCCCCTGGCCCTCACCCCTGAGCGGTGGGTGGGGGCCCTAAAATACTAATTAGGGGGGACTTAATGTCCTCCACCCTGGCCCCCACCCCTGAACGATGGGTGGGGGCCCTAAATAAAAAAAAACTCTCCACTGGGTGACTAGGGGTCCCCAAACCCCTAGTTACCCCTCTCCCCCAAAAAATTAACCCCTACCTACCCCCCTCACCCTAAAAATAATGAGGAGGGACCATTTAACTAAGTACCTGAAAAAAAACAAAAACTTACCAGTTGATGTTTTCTTTCTTCTAAAATCTTATTTTTTCAGCCCCAAAAAAGGCCAAATAAAAAGCCATAATAACTGACGCACTTAAAAAAAATAAAATATGCATCTTCACCCCATGGAGGGCTAAGTAACCCACCCATGGTGGGTGGAGGCCCTAAATACTAATTGGGGGGGGACCTAATGTCCTCCCCCCTGACCCCCACCCCTGAGTGGTGGGTTGGGGCCCTAAATTAGAATGAGGGGACTAATGTCCTCCCCCCTGGCCCTCACCCCAGAGAGGTGAGTGGGGGCCCTAAAATACTAATTGGGGGGGACCTAATGTCCTCCCCTTGGCCCCCACCCCTGAGCGGTGGGTGGGGGCCCTAAAATACTAATTAGAGGAGGAACTTAATGTCCTCCACCCTGCCCCCACCCCTGAACGATGGGTGGGGGCCCTAAATAAAAAAAATAACCCCCCTCCCCAAAAAATCTTTCATAAGTGAAATTCACAATATAAAATTTAATTTTTTATGTGTATTTCACTTATTAAAGATTTTTTGGACAATTTTTATTGTGCCAATCATCTTTATAATACACCTTATATTTTATTTCATTCCTGACATTTTTATTATCCTGGACTCCAAGCAATCCGCGGTGGGGATTATTCCACCTACGCTATCACCAAGGAGCAGTCTGTCTGCTCCATCCTTGTGAGTACCATTTTACACTTATTTTATTTCTATACCGTTTTTAATCAGAGAGCACTATTGGTTGTCTCCTTTTATTCTTTTTGAGTGGTCCACACACCTTTGAAGAAAGAAGGTTGCGTCATATCCCATAAACGGGGATTATACCGCTGTACGCTTTCTATACTAGAGCTAGCTATAGGTAGGAACATTCCCTCTAGACTATGGCTACACACCGCCACATACGGAGACCTCCAAACCAAAACTCCCCTGATTGATGCCACCCTAAGGGTGTGGACAGCAGCACACTATCGACTGCAGCTTACCACCTCACCTAACCCCCTGATGCCCATCACCCACAATCCGGACCTTGCGGATGCCCTAACCCACAGCAAGCTATCCGGCTTCCAACCGACTGACTGGATGTACCTACACCAGTGGTATGGCCCAACCGGACTTAAAACGCTCCAAGACCTTTGCCCAGACAGGACGCCAATGTTACTCGAACAGTTTCGCTACCACCAAATAAAAATTTATTTTCAGTCCCTACGCGGGCACTTGCACAGACCCCTCACAAGCTTTGAACTCCTTTGTGTACACCGGACACAAATCCCCAGGGGAATCTCGACCCTTTATACCTTACTCATGGCCCAGGCTAGTGGAGATGTGGTGCTAAGATACAAGGACCACTGGGAGAGGGATGCAGAGATGTCTCTTTCCACACAGGAATGGGACAAGATCTTCACCCTCACACACAAATGCAGTTCGAAATACCAGGAACTAAACTACAAAATACTAACCCGCTGGTACAGAACTCCAGACATAATACATCGCATGCACGAGAACACACCGGACACATATTGGAGATGCGGTACACACCCCGGCACACACATCCACATATTGTGGACATGCCCCGCAATAGCCCCATATTGGGAGAGGATCAGGGAGGAAATCCACAAAATCACCGGCTCTGAGATACCCCTGAATCCCTTGACAATGCTACTACACCACACCCCATGTCCTCTGAAAGCCTACAAAAAGTCCTTGACACTCCCCTTCATCCCATGTCCCCTGAAAGCCTACAAAAAGTCCTTGACGCTCCCCTTGCTTAATGTATCCAAGTCCCTCATCCCTGCGCTGTGAAAACAGCCGGGAGCTCCCACCCTCCAGGTTGAAGACATACACTCCATGGAAACTCTGATGGCCGATCTATATGGGAGACCGGAGCAGTGCGCGTTGACCTGGTACCCATGGGTAACATACATAGCCAAAAAAACTGCGGCCCCAAACACAACACAGCAGGGACCCCCGGATGTCCGGGACACACACACCTAATCCCCCCCCTTACTCCTCTCTGTGAAAATTACCCATTACCCTCCCGCCCCAGAAATCGGACCACGTCTCCATAGTCCAGTTTAGACAGAAGAGAGACGATATGATCACTCAGACACACCCACATAACCAGCATAACGTGACCCCCGAAGGAACAGACAACACAAACCAGATGGTCAAACCTAGACATAGACACAACATCAATACCAACAATACCTGAACAAAGACACGAGCCTGAGTAGGAACCATAACCTCAGAACACCACATAAGCTGTAGAATGAGAGACAAAGTAGAGGAAAGGGAAAGCAACTGTAGAGGGACTCTGGCACGACTTGCCACGCACACACAACTCCCCAAACTACTAATCCATCAGATAGCAGACCAGACGAGTGCTCGTATACAACACTTATGACCGAACACCCCAGCTTTACAAAAAACGGATAACAACATGGATTCGAAATGCCTACAAAAACCAAAACACTAGTCTAATAAAAAGTTAGCGACTGCTGTGACACAACACAATCACTAAAACAAGGGTCACTGACCCCCAAAGTGCTCACCACACCTGACGTCGACCCATTGCAAACACAATTGTAGTAAACTAGATACTAGCACTAACAGATATATAATTATTTTTATGCATGGACTTACACACTTGATATGAACCAGTTATATGTTACTTAACAAAGGTCGTACTGGCACAAATATGAACAATGTGGCGGGACACACCCATAAATCCAGTATCAGCAGAGGGAACCCTAATGACTGTGCAAAGCCCGATAACGCCGCTGCTGCTTGTTTGCACCCAGACCTATATATTCCGAAGAACCAACTGTTGGATGGGTAATGCTTATTATTACTGTTCCTTATACGGACACAGCTGTTGACTCTGACATGCTTTTATGTTCCTGACTGTTACATGTTTCCCAAAAGACAAAATAACAAAATAAAGATTGTAAAAAAAATAAATAAAAAAAATAAATATAATAATAATGAAACTATTCATGCTGCTAATAAGTTTAGATTAAGTTGTTCAAGTAAATTAATTAATTTTCACTAACATTGAAACCTGGCCTAGTATGCTCGTATGTACAGCTGTCTCATATAAACCCTATGGAGGAGAGGTAGGTTCCCCATAAATTCTGAAGTACTAAACATATCAGAATACAAATTTTAAACAAATTCAACTTTTAACTAAAAGATTGGTATCAATAAATATTCCTGAGTACGGTATATACCGCACTCATCATAAACATTTATAAGGTTTGGTCACATTTCATATTTATATATTAGGCAACATATTGTACTTTGACTGAAGGAGTATTGGGATACTCCCCACACAAACTATGCTGCAGAACCTGCCTGTTCTCATCCCTCGGTGTACTTGATTGCAAGCATGTACTGAAGACAATGACTTATCACCTAATTCCAAAAGGGACACTCCAAGCAACATAACTACTGAAAGATATTGCGGTGTTATCGGGACTGCATCCACAGAGTCCTTGCACCATTATTTTTTCTCTCAAAATAATTAATAAGTAATTTAGGCGCCTTTGAACCTTATATATTTTATTTTTGTCAAGACCACCATCCTGAGTTTGGGGCAATATTTAAGTATGTTTTGGGGGGCGGGGCCTGACCGCCGGCGGGATCAGACGTGCTCTGTCTGAGCTCCCGCTCTAGGGTCCGAAAATCGGAGCTAGCTGGAGGCCAATCCCGAATAATGACCCATGAAGGTGACCACACTGACCCCCCAGCCACTGGGGTACGCGGAGACACCGCCCAAGCACCGACAGCAACCCGACAGGGGCCCAGAGCGCACTGGAGCTTGAGCCGGGACGAGACGGCCGCTCTCCCGGGTCTCCGGCCGGCGTCTCGCTCCCCCCCTCCTCTGGACCGGGGGGGTCATCCCGGTCTGTCAGGGTGCCGGCCATCACACCAGGCCAGGCCTGAGCAGCTGTCCTGGCGCGCTATACCCACCGGACAGAGCCCCTCAGGAGGGCCGCAAGATGGCCGCCACGTGCCAACCAAGTACGCGAACGCCCAGCTTAGCCGAGAGGATCGAACCTGGACAAAGAGCCAACAGGGACTTAGCCCCAAACATCGGGCGCACCAAGAGTCCCCACAGCAACCGACAAAACACTCACCTCTCAGGCGGATTCTCGCCCAGCGGCAGCCCGGGGCTCCAGTAGTTAGGAAAGCACCAAAATGGCGGAGAGTAAAGCGGCATACACCGCACCAGCGGCAACAGACACCACGTGAACGGACATCACCGATTCTTAAGCCTGTCGACACACCAGTAATAGTGGAGGTGATACCGTCCCCGGTGAGCAGCTTTGCCCTGCAGCCCACTCTGAAGCAAGCGCCCCACCGTACCAGCGCTGGTCCTAGGCAGCATAGCAACACCAATATCTAAGGACACGTAGAGCTGGGGCCATGCCTAACTAAAACCTCACGGGACACTAACGACACACAGATCAGGACCCTGACCCACAATCAGCGAGCATCCAGCTCATAAGTTTTATTGTTCTTTTTCTAATGAGCCTTCTTTTTCTTTTATTTTCTGGTTGGTTTTGTTATGTTTTGCTTCTCCTATCTACACTGTTATGCTTGTCATCCCTCACGACATTCACTGACTTAGGAAACATGCAGTTAACACTAATGTCAAGCGTATGATAAACCATGTCTCTCTAGGCTTACAATTGTGACCGTAACACTGCGAGCTTGTCTGTTTGAAAATGCATAAGAAATCTCCTTACTCAGGGCATATAATTCTTGATCTAAGCTTGTATAATCTGATGAATTTTATAATTATTCAACACACTGTCAGTCAGCTAAGCTTAATGTATCTACCATTATTATTTCTATACCTCATGACTTAGACTAGCCAGCCATGTTTACTATACAAAAAGAAAAATGTGCAACGTACTTGTGCCATGATTATGCCTATAATGTAAAGCGAATGTGTGCTGTTGTGGCACGTTAAACATGTTTGTCAATCACTTGCACAGAAAAAATAAAGAATAAAAAAATAAATAAAAAAAAATATTTAAGTATGTTTTACCTTTCTTCATCGAATTGTGCATTCATGACATTTGTATAGGTGTGCGGAACTCAGCAGTGCCAAATTGCTTTAAGAAAGCCAAAGAAATGACTTATTTTATTCATCTGGGCCAAGGATCATTTGGATGCCCTTAATTCTTACTTGTGGCCATTTTTCCAAATTAAATTCTTTGAAGGAACACTATAGGCACCAATACAAGTTAGGTTAATGAAGCAGTTTTGGTGTATAGATCATGCCTCTGTAGTCTCACTGTTCAATTCTCTGCTATTTAGGAATAAAATCACTTTGTGTACAGCCCTAGTCACACCTTCCTGCATGTGACTTACACAGCCTTTCTAAACACATCCTGTAAAGAGAGATCTAATGTTTAAACTTCTGTTATGTACATTCTGTTTAATTTAGAATTTCTAAGACCATGCAGGAGCCTCCTGTGTGCGATTAAAGTTCAATTTAATGAGCAGGAAATGCAAACTTCAAAGGTAAGTTAGCATTTTATTGAAAACAAAACCATTTTATTCATGCAGGCTGTGTCAGTCATAGCCAGGAGAGGTTTGGCTAGGGCTGCATAAACAGAAACAAAAGTGATGTAACTCCTAAATGGCAGATAAATGAGCAGTGAGACTGCAGGGGCATAGTCTACAGACCTAAACTACTTCATTAAAGGACCACTATAGTGCCAGGAAAACATACTCGTTTTCCTGGCACTATAGTGCCCTGGGGGTGCCCCCACCCTCAGGGTCCCACTCCCATGGCGCTGAAGGGGGAGGAAGGGGTTAATCCCTTACCCTTTTTTCCAGCGCCGGGCTCCCTCGGTGCTGGGACTCTCCTCCCTCTTCTGACGTCCCTGGCTGAATGTGCATGCGCAGCATTCAGCCAGTACATAGGAAAGCATTCTCAATGCTTTCCTATGGACGCTGGCGTCTTCTCACTGTATAAATCAAAGTAAGAAGCGCAGAAGCGCCTCTAGCGGCTGTCAATGAGACAGCCACTAGAGGCTGGATTAACCCATAGGTAAACATAGTAGTTTCTATGAAACTGCTATGTTTACAGCAAAAAGGGTTAAACCTAGCTGGAACTGGCACCCAGACCACTTCATTAAGCTGAAGTGGTCGGGTTGCCTATAGTGGTCCTTTAAGCTAGTTGTTTTGATGCCTATAACATACTTTGAATTGACACTTACGCTTGATACTTGTATGTTTATGCCCTAAAATATGTAGCCATCAGGAATCTTGTGATTGCATGGAATTATACAAGAAGCACCATGGCTTAAGTTTTCCAAGACCCGAGCACCTATAACGTAAGTGACTTTCCAGGTTCAGGAGGGCAAGCTAAAGTGACAACGCTCCAACCAATGATGAAAGCATAGGTCGGCTATACCTACAGCCATGTCAAAGTAGTCAGTGGTGTCTAGAGTTGTTTACAACATCTGTGGACAACCCCCTGAAAATCCTGGATGTGTGTGTATGTTGGTTGGTAGGTGTAGTCAGAGATCCGTAGTTCCCCTCCAGGCTCTGCTGTGCCAGTACTTGCGTACGTTTATCCAAGACCATCGCTCAACATCTGAAGTCTACTCGCATCTTCTGACACTGGCGTTCAGAGCGGATAGTCCGCTTTTACAGTCAGCCAGGGTGGGGTGCCACTTGATTACGAGGTAGGTAGATGACGTGGAAGGGAAAGAAAAACAAGAGTAATAGATAAGAGTAGGAGAAGCAAGAGGGGGGTAAAAAGGATAGAGGCACTAATCACACTCCCATCTGTCAGGATGTTAACCTTACCCAACCTTTTACCAGACCTTGAAACTGAATTCTTCTTGTGTAAACGAATTCTGATTTTTTATTATTTAGAATCATACATGTTTTTTTAGGCACTCAGTAGGGGTTTGGATATCTTGAAAACGGTTTGTTGCCAAGTCTGCTTTCAATAGCCAATTGTCCGTGTAAGAGTCAATGTGAATACCTTCCTTTTTTAGAGTAGCAATCACTTCTAGAACTTACGTAAAAACTCAAGGAGCAGAGGCAAGGTCATAGGGAAGCCATTTGAACTGGAAATGAACAAGTTAAATTTTTATCGAAATACATTTTGAAAATCTACTTTCCTTTGCAATGGGAATACGCAGGTAGACATCCTTGAGATCCAAAGAACTCAACCAGTTCCCTTCTTTGATGATATTTGTGGCTGAAACAATGATCTCTCTACCTGATATTTTCTGTGTAATGTGAAGATGTACTTTTTTGAGATCTAAAATTGGTCTGAATTAGCAGTCTGTTGATGTTTCTTTACTAAAAATAGTCTTGAGTAAGTCCCTTTGAAGTAATCTGTGGGCAGAAGTTCTTTTTATTATTATTATAGCCATTTATATAGTGCCAACAGATTCCGTAGCGCTTTACAATATTGTGAGAGGGGGATTTAACTATAAATAGGACAATTAAAAAAAACTTAAGGGAACAATAGGTTGAAGAGGACCCTGCTCAATCGAGCTTACATTCTATAGGACAGTGATGGCGAACCTTTTTGAGCCCTAGTGCCCAAACCGCAATACATGCCAACTTTTTTTTCCTCAAAGTGCCAACACAGCAATTAAACCTGAATACTGAGGTTTAGGTTTAGAAAAAATAACTCGTACAGTTGTCCAAACTAATTAACAACTTTTGTTTTAAAAGAACACAACAACAGAGAGTTCAATGATACAAATTTTAAGTAATGGATAAAATTAAGCTTATATTATTAAGCTCTGACCCAGAGAAAAGATGCACTGGACCGTGAACCTGCAACCGGCACTGGGCATGGAGCTCGCCGGGCGGCACAACCAACAAGCCTTCCAAGCACTCGGGGAATCCCCCAACGCATCAAGCGTCCGCAGACCTGTGACCCAGCCAAACCAAAACGGAAAGCTACCAGACAAGCGGCAAGGAACCCACGGGAGACCAGGAACCCCCGGCGCAGCTCACCCACCACGAGCCACATGCAGGGAGCCTGGTTCAACACACAGCCCTTCCTGGGGATGAAAAGCACTACCTCACCGACCATGCAGCCTACCAAGCTCTGATGGCCCATACGTGGTATCGGATAAATGGACAGCACGTAATACACACCAGCTCCCTTACAGAGACATTTAACTCACTGCTCCTTTAGAGCTTTCATGGTGCAATTAGTACCCAGTGGTCATATAGCAGACTCAACGCTAACTACAGCCTAATACCTTTGCTAACCAATGTAAGATTTTTCATAGCATCATTATGAGCCAAGTTATTAGTTAATCTTTCCCTTTTCATCCTAATGCTTAAATGATGTAAACCAGCTACAGTATAGATAACACTCTTGCTTGCTAGAAAAGTTTTATTTACTTGACCTGTTTAGCATGTTTATGGTCAGCAAGTAATGTCATAATCGTTGACTTTTGAAGCATGTACCTTAACCAGACATTCAGGGACCTAACCTAAGAAATGTTATTTGACTGTTCCATCTAACATGCTAAACCATACTACCTTTATGTTTCTCTGCCAGTATTCCTCATGTTATATATAAAAAATGTGCTGTCTACACTGCAAAACGGTATAAAAAGCATGCAGAAGCTGTCGTGGCTCTGCGTGCCTGTTGTAAATCTGTGCACGTGAAAAATAAAGAATTTAAAAAAAAAAAAGAGACGCCTGGGATTGCGGGAGCATGAACTAATGAGAGAGGAAAAGTAGGACTGTAGGGCAAGGGCTGCGTTGTATGAACACAATATGAATCTATAATGGAGAAAGTCTGACTGGGTGCGAGACTTCCTCCAGGAGCGTTCAGCACAACGGGAGCATCTTTGCAAGTAGCGTGTTGATTTAGTATGCCACAGTTGGAGGCGGGACCTCCTCGAAGTGCTGGTGCTGCAGCGTTCAAGGCAGCGGTGAGGGTAGTGTTATATGCGGAGATGGCCAGTGAAGGACAGGAGAGGGAAGGGATGGACAGCAAGTGTGAATCAATATAAGCTGACAACTGCTGGAGATCAAGAGAATTAAGGTCCCTCTTGAGTTATGGGGGGGTTAGGCCAAGGTTGTTGGGTGAGGGGGTACACGAGAGCAAACAATAAGAGGTGGTGATCAGAGAGAGGAAATGGAGTGTTGCAGATATTAGATACTGTACATGCATAAGAGAAGATTAGGTCAAGGGTATTGCCAGCTACACGGGTGGGAGAATTAGCCCACTGTGATAGTCTGAGGGAGGAAGTAATTGAGAGTAGTTTAGAGGCTGCAGAGGTCAAAGTTGAGTTAATAGGAATATTGAAGTCCCCGAGAATTAGGGATGGAATTTTAGAAGAGAGGAAATAGGGTAGCCAGGCAGCAAAATGGTCAAGGAAGAGAAGAGAAGAGGGGAGCC